CCCAGCCCGGTAGAAGCTCCTGGAGAGGTGCAGGTCACCAGAAACAAGTCCCCATTCCCCACAGGAGCCCAAACACGTCCTCCAAGGGACTGCAGGGACAGCCCCAGAAAGCCACCCTCAGTGCTAGGGAGCCCCGACGCATCCCAGCCCTTACACTGGTCCAGCGGGGGTGGCACACTGCCCTTCACCCAGGGTGTGTGGTCATCTACCATGTTGATGGTCAAGTTGGGGTGCCAGTGCGAGATGACCTCCACGGGACCGTAGTCTTCCGCCCTCTGCAATGAGAATATCACCGCCCCGTCACAGAAGCTGGCATCCCTCCATCTCACCCAGCGTCACCTACTGCCATCCCTCCTTAAACAAGGCAGCAGAGAGGGGAAGCGGGAGAGCCAACCCTCCCATCCCAGAAATACAAGGAAATCATCATTCCTCTTCCCCCTCTGTGGAGCAGGAAGGATGTGCCCCAGGCAGGTGGGGGAATCCTCTGCAGCACTTCCCAACAGCTTTGCAGCTGGAGGAAGACATATGGATATTGAGGAGTTTGGCCAATGGGGAAAAAAAAAGAAAAGCCCACAAAAGGAAGAGCCAGTTACCTTGATCATTTCAGGGTCTGCCTCTGTCTCACCCGTCAGGAGGTTCTTGGTTTTCTGGAACCGCCGGCGCTTATATTTGTTGATCACTGAAAGGAAAGAAGAGAGGTGAGCGTTTCCAGCTCTGCACGAGAAGGTAGGGAAGGAAATCTAAGGAAGTTACAGCCTGCCAGGAGGGGAGCAGGGCATTTTATGACAGGCACGAGCCGACCAGAGAAGCCCATTTCCTTCATATCACCCCCCAGAACTAATTATTCCGGACCGTCTCACAGATCTTCCAGTTATCAAAGGCTGTAGATTAGGGACAACAAGCCAGATTAACAACCAAACCTTTGGGATAATTACATCACTGCTGGAGGAAAACACCTGAGATGAAGTGTCCAGATCTTCCTGTCCTGCAGGAAGACCTGAATATGGCAATTTTTTCCTCTTCTCAACACTGATGTGGTTCCACACTACCTATACAGGTAGGGATCCCCCTCCCACATCACATGGATGGAAACCAAGAGCTCACAGACATTTAAAGACATTTTTCCTCCGCAGGTTCACAAAAGACAAATTCCAAGCACAGAAAATATCCAGCTCAGGGAGCAGCCGAGCCAGCACACTGGAGGCCACAAGAAGTCAGGTATTTGCCCTAATCTTCCCGTTCAGGCACCTGCTTCGTTGACCCAAAGCCAGAGCTCAGCCTGACTCCTTCAGGCTCCTGTTTTGACACAGGAATTGGGGTGCCCCTTTCCCCACCACCACCTCAGGCCCGTCACACGCCACCCTCTTGCCCCAGGCCGTACTTCGTGACGTGTGGACTGTGGCGAGGCGCCTGTACAGATTTTTCTGCCTGGGGTCAGGATGGAAGCCACTCTTCGTGAAGTACACGTGGATGTAGATGGAGCCATTCTGCTGGACACTCTGAAATCACACCCCAACAGGGTGGTTGAGTCAGATGCGGTCAGAGCACGGCTGTCATCTCTCAGCCACGGTCACCGCCTCAGCGCCCGTGTTCGTACAGCACCCAGCACTGACACCAACACCAACCATCCTCCCGCAGCCATCAACCCTGTGTGAAACCAAAGCATGAAGCCGCAGACAGTCCCTCACAGCATCCAGAGGGTGGCATGCTGTTGTACAGCTCGGGGCAAATTTGAAACCTTTAATGGCTGGTCACTAAAACAATGGCTTCAAGCCCTGTCACCTCCGTGCCACGGCTGGAAGAGACACCAGCCCACTCCACAGGGTCTCACCCACCATCCAAAGTGAACGGGATATGGATAAAGGTGACAGCAGGGATGCGTTGCGGAAACCAATGCTGCTCGATGCCTCAGCTCCACTCAGTGCTCCCAGGATGGCTTTGAGCACGATCCTGGCAATCCCTGCCAGCCCCTCAAGGATCCCCTACCTGGCCTCAAATCTCCCAGAAAGATTAGTGGGTGCACCCACCTGCGAAATGTCGACTTCCCCATAGTGTTCGTAGCACCCATCAGCATTCTCCCCACTTGTCCAGTCCCCGTAGACAAGATCCCGCTTCTGCCAGAAGAGCGCCGAGGTGACGTTGAAGTCTGTAAAGTGCTCGTGCTCCGAGATATAAACGTAGAGATCCTGTGGAGAGAGGAGGACGTCGGCTACTGGTGGATGACTAAGCCCAGTGGCAGGATACCGGTGCCTGAACCACTCCCGCTCTCCCATACGGCGCCATGACATCCCCTCCCAAGCTGGCTCGGCACTCCAGTGAGCCCGAGAAATAACTCTTGGCTGACGCCGCGCTGCCAGGACACTGTAGCCACAGGCAGAGCTACAATTTAGGTCTGCTAGATTTAAGATATAGCTCAGGAATACAGCAGCAGGTCCAGCTACAGAGCCACCGTGCGGTCACCGCGCTGCCAGTCACCCAGAACAGGACAGTGTAGCTTCTGCCAGCGTTTACCATCAAAGTGTCCTTGGGGAAGAGGTTTCGACTCGGGGCTCGTGGCGTCCCACTCGCACTGTTCTGTTCCTGCGGCGCCGGCCCGCGGCGGAACCAGCTGCTGATGGCCCAGATGATGAAGATCCTGCGGGAGGAAGGGAGGAGAAGCTGCTCAGGTGTTTTAGCCGCCTTCCCCAGCTGAATCAGACGTGACCTCACACAAACAAACCCCCCAGTTCCGTGGGGCAGGGAAGGGCAAAATCGTTAGTGCCGGACAGACAAGCCTGCGTTTCAAAACTCACTGTTTTCATCTATTTCTGTCATGGCAGGCATTCATCCTCGGGCAAGAGGCGCCGGCCAGAGCAAACTGGTTCCGGGCCAGCTCAGATCCAGCGCCAGGCACGGTGGGAGCATGCCAAAAGTGAGCAAAAGTACCAGGAACTCGCCTCAAGAACACAGAGTCGCACCCCGATGTTATCCCGGAGAAGGCTTCTAATGGGTGTGCACAGGATGGGGACACCAGGACATCCCTGGATCCCAGCAGGAACCCTGAATCACGCACACGAGGTGCTCAGCCCTTTGTAGGTCTATCAGCAACAAACCAAGAGGATGCTAAAGCCCCAGAACAAAGCTGGCTCCCACGCGCGTGTGGCAGAAACGACACGGTCACCTAACAAGCGAGGGGCAGACCACAGCGTGCTCCCAGCCACGCAGAGACCTTCCAGCAGAGCCCAGAGCAGCCCCCAGCTAGCTGGCCACCTCCAAACCCACAGCCACGACAGTTCCTGACCTCTGGTGCGCAGCTGCAAATGCTGTCCAAAGCTCCCCAGGCTGCTCCCAAGCACAGAGACGGGGACAGGTCCCTTCTGCATGCCCTCCGCAGCCCTCTGCAAACTGAGTCAGGCAGAAGCGTTTCCGTGCATTAAAAGAAACTGAGCCTTTTTCCCTTATTTTTGAAGGTTTTCGGCAGCATGTCCCAAGGTACGACGGTTTCCATCCCTGTTTTTCTTTGCCAGTAAAGCATGAGGATCCTTTCATACATGCCCCAGGTGCCACTAAATCACACTTCCCCCTCCTGGCCTGTGCACGGAGTGACCAGATAACAAGCCTGGGAATGGCAGGCAGTGCCAGCAATAAGACAACAGCTCCCAGGACCAAGCAATGGCCACAGCTACGCTTTCATGCTGTGGGCAGAAAACTCCAGAGATCCCAAGATAAGTCAGGACTTAGTTCAGCATAACTCTTCGTTAGGCCAAACCACAACATTTTGGAAAGCTCAAGAGCCCAAATAAGTCTCCCTGCATGCTCCTGGCCATGAGACCAAAACAGAGGAGGTGCTCAGGGCCCAGCACAGAGCCCACACAGCTGGCTCTTCTAGAGACCCATCGTCAGTGGTAAATCCATAGTCCAGGACATCACTGTTTGCTCAGAAAAGACTTGGGAGGATGCTTCTCCTTCCGAAGGTTTTGGGAACCAGACTATCTCTGCCTGCGGCACATGGACGTCTCCCACTCGTGGCCAGGCGATGGGGCTGCCGTCCACCTGTCGGTGCGAGTTTTCCTTTGTGCCTCTCTCTGCCAGCCGACCATGAGGAGCGAAATATTTCCAAGCGCTTCTGAGGGCACAGCTCCATTGGCAATAAGATGATGGAGCACTCTTCCCCCCGGCTTCGCCAGTCAGGACACTGGATCTGCCAGGGGAGACAATGCTTTGGAAAGGAACAAACCTGCCCTTGGAGGAAGAGATGGACGAAGAAGTGGAGCAGGAAGGCAGTTCATGGATGCGAAGAGGAGTCATGGCTTCAAGGAAGAGACTCACAATCCATTTGGCAGCACCAGTCCAAAAGCTGAGACCTGCTGGCTCTGGCATCATCCTCCTCACCGCAACACAGACAAGGTTGGGAACGGCACATCCAAACACACAACGCCGGCTCCAGGCATACCAGTGGAAACACCCTGACCTTCTCCTTCCCCTTGGGAAAGGCATCCCTCCTTGCAGAAGCAGGAGCAAGCCAGGGCAGAGGCTCAGCACGGTGCTGGGAGTCATCCATGCCACAGCATGGACTTTGGATCCCTCATGGTGAGGCGCAGGGAGTGCCAGCTGCTCCTCGGAGGAGCCCAGGAAGCATCAGCTGCCCCTGCCTGCCCCAGCGTGAGCCTGACCACGGGCTTCCAGGGAAAAAGCAGGAAGGAGCTCAAGAGCCCGGAGCTCTGGAAAAGCCCCGTGTTGGGAAGGGCAACAGCTCCAGGAGGAGTAGCCCCATGGACTTCCCTCCTCCCGGCAGGACCTCCAACACGTGAGGACGGGCAGCCCCATCCTCCCACGCCCCAAGGACCCTACTGTACTCTCAAGGGGGAGCGGGGGCGCAGAACGAGCTGCTTGCCAGCCCCACCACCCTACAGCCTCCCGGGGATCTGGGGCTCCGGTGCCACGGCGGGGGAAGATGGCGAACCGGTGTCCGGTGCCACGGCGGGAGAGGGAGAGCGGATGGCCGGTGGCACCGGGCGGGGCTCACCTGAAGAGGACGCCTTTGATGACCTGCCAGGCGTTGG